CTTTTTTGCTTTCCCATGAGCAAGGTATGAGAGTTGCAGTTGTTCTGCAAGCTCATCAGCACATGAGACTGCTGGGTTTCCAAGTTTTAGCTATTCTGGCAGGCACGTAACATTATCTCCTTGTGGTTCTAATCGGCATTCCTCCATGTCAAATGACTCTGAGCAACTTTTCGTGTGCTTACTGACCACCCATACCTTCTTGATGAAATGTATGTTTCCATTTTTTGCTCATTTTTAAACTGGGTTGTTTTGTTATTGAGTTTTAAGTCTGGCTACACATTCTTTATAGTTACACTGGCCATTGCCGTCATTCCTGGGAAATATCTCTTCTGAATTCACAGCAAAAAAGGAACATCATCCCATAAGTGAGAAACTCCACAAACGGAATAAACATTGGAAACCATCTCTAAAGGCAAAGCAATTGAGGTAGAATCCAGAAGCATTTATTTTTGGTTCAGGAAAGATAACTCTGGACATGTTGTCACCAGTATTTAGTGAGGAGACGTCAAACCTGAGAGACTCTGGACAGGTGAATGACAGCTGTGGGCAATTAGCAGTAGCACACTTGCTACCCAACACAGCTGTGGCCAGGAGCCTGCATGCCAGAGTACAGTTCTGGGATCTGACTCTGGTTTTGTCCCTGGCTACTCTCTGACCCCAGGCAGGTTCTTTAACCTCTCAAGTATCTCAGGGCTCACAACTATAAAACAAGAAGAGTAAGAGAACCCAGGTTATAGGTGGTTGTGAGGATTAAATGATTCACAGGAGTCAAATGTGTAGCGTGGTGCCTGGCACACAGGAAGGGTCCATACACATGAGTTATGCTTTCTGATTATTTAGTGACAAACACAGAGAAATGGTAGCATGGAAGGTACATGATCACAAACACCCATCACCTTTACTCTTGGTTCCTGGTACACAGTGGGCATCAATGGCTTTCCACTGGATGAATAAATGGCAAAGTGGTTGACAGGCTTTTGTACAAGGAGAGACGCTGGAATAGTAATCAGTAGTAAGGTTTAAATGTCAAGAGACCAGCCCAGTCAACTTTAATTCAACATTCTATTGAAATCATTGTATTACAGACAACCACTGTGTGTTTATAATAACGTCTGAGGCACTGAACAATCCCTTTTGTGTCTTAGGAATTATCAGTGATTAAGTTACACTCAATGAAGTTTTAAGATTAAGTTTATATTACTGCATTCAGCTGCTTTAAACACTGGTAATCTGTGCAGAGCATGATGGCATCTATGAATTAACTGGAGTCTCCTCGGGGACAGCAACACTTTGGTCACAGCCCTGACCCACACGACACTGTCACCCAACTGCATCTCCACTGCCCACTAACTGAGCATTTCTTATGCCCAGTCCTTCTGTGTTCTCAAAGTGCCTGAGATATACTCATGCCTAGTAAATACCTGCCAAAAAAACAAACAGCTACTGTGTTTCATAACAAACCAGATTATAGTTTTAAGCCCTGCAACATATTCTTTTGGTGAATTTACATTTCCACAACACAATTTTAAAAAAGTATAACCTCTTGAGACTGTTTAAATAAAAATGTCAACATTTAAAACTATGGTACACTTTAAGAAAATCACTCTTGAAAGCCTTAACATTTTAGACTAAATGTCTTAACAGAATCCAGTTGAAACTGAAGGCTAAAGCATCTGAAAAGTCCTTTTTAATTTACAGTTTCTAACACAATCAGTTAAAAGTCGCTGCTTTCCTTATAATTAACTATTAAGGCGTACACTGCTAGTCTACCTGTCAGACGTTCAATCATACTACTCTATTATGGTGGTACCTGCTCCAAGGAAGGAGGTAGGAAGAAAAAAGGCTGGAAAATGCTAGGCAAAGCGAGGTTAAAAAGTGACCTGATCCTTCCTCTTACATTAGGCTCAGGTCTTCCTAAGCCCAGTATCATTTCGTAATTCATTTCAGGAGCCAGCTCTGGACTCTTATCAGAAAACAGAATCAAGAAGAGAGCCATCTCCTCAACTCTCACACAAATGCTGGGGGAAACAGTCAATGTATTGAGAAGAAAGGTGGGTCTGCAGACATGATGTCGGAGCGTAGGATGCCCCTTTCAGCTCAGAGCACCTACCCATCATATTCCACTTGAAGGCTCAATTCAGGGAGGTCTCAATTATACAGTCTATGCTGAAGTCAGACTCTCTATCAGGGTACTTGAAGTGTATGTAAGAGGGATTACACTTTTAGTGAAAGGATCTTGACTTCAGAGGTGGAAGTTTGGTCTTCATCCTGCGGGTAGGGGGTTTGGGTGTCTGGATTCAAGTAGGAAAACCAATGACAAACTCCTTCACAACTTTGCTAGGATCAGCTCCATTTTCCTGGTTTTTGGGGGGGGTGGGGAAGAGGAGAATTCTGGAAAAGTATACTCTGATTTTGCCCCATGGGTAGAATTCCCCCACAGAGGTACCAGTACTCAACAATGATATGCTGGACAGGAGATGGTTCCATAAAATGGACATTATCTACCTCTCGACAATGCTTGCGAGGATTTAGTGAGATAATATTTTGGAGCATTTAACATACTACTAGGTACATAGAGACCAATAAGTGTTTACTATTATTACACAATAGGTACCGACAAAGATGAAAATAAGCTTACAGAAAAATTTGTTCACAGATCATTAAAAACAACTGCAATTCTGCTGAAACTCATAAGAGCTGCTCATAATACAAAAGAGCACAATCTGTTCTCTTTTTAGAGATACATCACTTTAGAAGTTACTGTGGCAACATGTAATTTCAAACCTTTCCAATGCCCAGCAACTATCATCCTATCACATCTTGTCAGTTAAAACATCCCTTAAGTGTGTGTATTAGTTGAGTTTAACAATCTCATTTATTTAATATGGCCTTCCTCTCCTCCTTCCATGTGACACGGGACCAGAGATGCACATCTCCCTTATCTGCCTTGCCTCTCTCAATCTCAAATCTTATAAGGGCAAAGAGTTCCTACTTCCTGATCTTTGTCAAAGCAAGAGAGTCCTGAAATAAAAGCATAAGGGAACCTGGATGGGAGGCAGAATCTCCTCTATGGCCAACATATTTTAACATTTAATAAGAAGATAATTTTTCAAAATTAATCAGGAATAGCACCAGTCTACCACCTAGATTAACTATTCTACTAAAGAGATAACAAGCATTTAACAGACCCAAGCAGCTGCAATCTGGTGTGATGGGTAACAGGCAACTAAAAGAAGCTGAGGTTTACAAAAGCCAAAGCATAGCTGGAGACTCTATGGGTACAGCCACCGCGCTCGATCTGACAGGCACTATTACCACAAAAACAAAAGACATGTGCAGAGTTCGCTTCAGGGCAGTACCATATCTCACAAAAGACAAGAGTGAGGGGAAGGTACACACTATAAGCCAAGCACAGGCAGGTACCCAGAGTTCTCAGTCCTACACAGATTTATGAGACCATTATCCATGGGCCTCCCGCATGGAGCCTCCAGTTATCAGGAACTGGAAGGTAATGGGTATATCACATTTGATTCCTGCACATAAGACAGCTTGGGGTGGACTGGGTAAAGAGAAGACACTCCTTTTCGAAATTTTTTTTTTTTTTTGAGTTGGAGTCTCACTCGGTCGCCCAGACTGGAGTGCGGCCACCGCAGCCTCGACCTGCTGGGCTCCAGTGATCCTTCCGCCTCAGCCTTCCAAGTAGCCAGAATTACAGGCATACGCTACCATGCCCAGCTGATTTTTTGATTTATTGTAGAGATGAGGTCTCGCTGCCCAGGTGGGTCTCGAACCCATGGGCTCAGGCAATCCACTCACCTCAGCCTCCCAAAGGCGCGGGATTACAGGCTGAGCCACCGAGCCCGGCTCCTTTTCGAAATTTTATAGGTGAATACAAGAATAAAAATCTCAGTGCTGTGGCACTTGGAATTCTGTTTTCTGCTGCTGAAAGCAAGTAATATAAAAAACGATTTCTTTCAATGAGTAGTATCTCTTTGCTTCAATTATATAACATTTTCTTAAAATTTTAGCATTCTCTGCTTCTTGGTTGCAAGTCTCCAGAGGCAGCTGACAAAAGGAACAAGCATAAAAACAACTTTTCACTGTGGTTAATTTGCTAAAGATGATTTTTGTTTTGGTGGTCTTGATGGTATGGTTTTAGATTGTCTAATATACAACATGTTGGGCTACAAGAAACTTTAATCATGTATATGTATTGCTTTTATTTTAAAAATTAATTTAAGAGAAAGACAAAAGAAACATGTTCATTCCCCAGGAATTGACATGGACCTTTTGTGTCTGGCACCCCTACACCCTGCTTTAGTTTGCTAATATCAGGATGGTCAATACATGTCTGTTGAGTGGGCAGTGATGTTCTGTAGACAAGCCAGTCTTTGAGAAGCTTATAATCTGACTGGGGGAGATATATGCTGAAATTCTGGAAAGGTACTTAACTTCCAATTATTTTAAAAGCAAACAAAAGAAGCATCAATTGACCATGAGTCTGTCCATCTTGCCTATCAATATCATTGGAGTAAAATAAGCTAATAATAAAAACTGTCATCTTACTACAAACTTAAAATTTTATTAATGTGTGTTGAACATGAAACATGATCACCTGTTTATAAAAAAGACAGCTTTGTTTTTTGACAATTTCAGAATAAGAACTTTGGCTTCTGATTCCTTTTAAGAGCTTCTGTAGGTGACTACTTTTTCTCATTATATCATTCTCTTTGGATCTGTATTACCTCAGTTCCTCCGAGACACAGCAAGGACAGAGAGTCCTCATTTTTTTTTTTTTTTTGAGTTGGAGTCTCATTCTGTCACTCAGACTGGAGTGCAGTGGCATGCTCCCAGCCACCGCAACCTTGACCTGCTGGGCTCCAGCGAGCCTTCTGCCTCAGCCTTCCAAGTAACTACAGGTGTGTGCTACTACGCCTGGCTAGTTTTTGATTTATTGTAGAGACAAGGTCTTGCCAAGTTGCCCAGGTGGGTCTCTAACCCACGGGCTCAGGCAATCCACTCGCCTCAGCCTCCCAAAGTGCTGGGATTACAGGCTGAGCCGCCAAGCCCAGTCTAAAAGACATTTTCTAATCTCACATATTGAAAGTTAATACTTAAGAAAGACCCTCTAAATCCCCCCAACCCCCATTCCCATTGAGAATAATCTGGTTTAATACAAGTTAAGTCTATAAATAAATCTGTTCTTTCTCCTCAAAAAACACTTAAGAAACTTTATAAGAATTATAGATTTATAAAATGTACCAAGAGAAATGGAAGTATTGTCATTTTACCCCTGTTAACATTGCTGCTCAAGCATCCCAGTGCCAAGGCCTTTGCTCAGCATCGCCCGGGACTTGTTCCCTTAGCAGGCTGGCTGGGACTCTTCTTAATCACTCTTTTCTTCTCCTTGGTAATGTCTGTACTCTGGCTTCAGCTCCCATGTGTTTTTGTGGATCCCTTTTACGTTCTGAACACCAATTTCTTTCAAGATTTCCTTCAGGTACCCCTGAAACAAAAACAGAAAACCCTAACAGATGAGATTATAAAGGCAGGAAACAAAATTTAAAATAAAATGATACACCAAAGCACATATGCAGATAATAAAAATTATCCTGAAAGCACAAGATTTTTCTATAGAGGTATAAACTTGATTTTACATATGCAATATATAATACCCATATTAAATAAATGATCATTAGCATTCAAGTGGTTGGAAGTTTTGAATGCCAACAACTTGAAAGCTAGAAAAAAAAAAGTCTAGATGAAAATACACTAAAAGTTACTGGTGCTCAGTGTTTACTAATATGACAATGTATACCGAGTGTAACTTGTCCTTGAGTTCGGTGGCTTCAAGGAATAGGTTTACAGTCAGACTGAACCAGCAGTCTCAAGAGCAATGGCATATATCACAAGTGACAAATATTTTTGAGAATACTCAATGAAGCAAGCATCATGACAGGAATCCAGAATTCTCAGTTCTAAGATGGATTCTCAAACTTGCTATTAGGTCACTTAGGTTTCTTGTTAAGAAGGAAAGTTATTATTTATATTTACTATTATTTGCACATTGGTCAAGCTTGCCAACTCAGGGTAAAACATAAGAAGTGATAACAAGACATGCTAAAAACCACAGGAGAAGACAGCTTTCTTGTGCTTGGCTCCTCCAAAGAAAAGTCTGTATTAGGTCCCTAATAATTCAACATTTATAAAATGAATACTATATTCATGGAAATATTGGCTATATCAAGTGTAATACTAAATCCCATCTTTGCTTACCAATACTCGAGGCCAAAAAAGCAGTCCAAAATAAGCTGACCAACATGAGTAATAGCACCTCCTTCTTGGAGAAGAAAAGCTAATTATTTAAAGTGACTTTTTAAAAAGCCAATCCAATCATTTTTATGTGTATGCCTCAAAGAACCAATTACAGTATTATGATGATTCATCCCATTGATGGAAGATGTAATTTTTCTTATTAGTAGAAACAGGCACTAATACAAAAATGGTAGAGAGCTCTTATCTAGATAATATTTAAGATAGTGCCCTTCTCAAGTGCTCAACTACTTGCATCAGAATCTTCTGGAAAGGTGTCAAGTAAGCCCCAGTTCTGAAACTCGAGTATCTTTGAGTCTCTGGAGCGTTGCTTAGTTCGCTGAGCCTCATCTTGCTGGAGATAATGCAATACCAACATAATCTAATGTCACTTTATGCCGACTAATATCATTTTCGAGAGCAGAGATTCCCTGGGCGGCAGACTTGTACTGTAACCTGTTAAGAACTGGCCGCACAGCAGAAGTTGAGCAGGGGGCGAGAGGAGATGGCCTGCAGTCAGATTAGCTTGGGCACTCATATAGGAGCAACAACCCAGTTGTGAACTGCACATGTGAGGGTTGTGCGTTCCTTATGAGAATCGAATGTCCGATGATCTGCACCCCTCACTCCCACCCATCCGTGGAAAAACTGGTCCCTGATGCCCAAATGGTTGGGGACCGCTGCTCTAGAGTTCATAAGGTCCTTTCAGTTAGGAGTAGGCTGACACCTAGAATCATAACTGATGAGCACTGTGGGACTACACACGGGTTCCTTACAAGGCCCTGGGTGGTTTAGCTCTCCATCCGGCAGCCTTCCCATCCAGCAGCCAGGCCCCAGCAGGTGGCAGCAACGAACCAGATGAGCCCTGGGTTCCCCCACAGGCCTGCCTAACTCCCACACCTACAGTTGGCTACACTAGCGGGCCCATGTGAATGAGTAAGCAGAAAGGCTTGAGACATCCAGGTAATAGGCACGTCTGCCATCTGCTTCTGCAAATTACATTGAAAAATGGAACACTGTTCCTAAACTACTTTCTAATTCATAAATAGAAAATGATGGGTTAGGCATAAATGATTCTCAGTTTAGGTGCCAAGAATGACATCTTTGTAAAATTCCAAAGAATGATTTATTACGAGACTGGCTAAGATGTTGTTGCATAAACAATCCTATAATTGTGGATGCACTACAATGGGTCAAACATGGAAAGAGCAATTGCCAGGAGCACTTTGGCAGCCGATGGAAAAGAAGCTCTCTTGACTTCAAGTCCAGTGTGGTCATTTATAACATAGGCACAGAAAGCGAAAAGCCTAAGAAGTGTTAAACAGAAAATACTAAGAGAATCTTGAGTGTACCGATTCAGTTGCTCTCATGTGTAGACACCCTCATTTTGGAAATCTGGTGTGATAAACGGAATATTTATTATACATGAAGATGTCACTCTCCTTTCTTTGTAACAGTAAGAATGGAAAGAGATAATCATAGCCTGTCAACTCATCAAGTAACAAAATAGGATTAGGGTCACTATGGCAGAGATTTTTTTTTCTGGGGTGGGGCGAGGAGCAAGAAAACTTCCTGGATTGTTAGGATGCTCCAAACTGCAACCTAAGACCATTTACTCTAACCAAATAAACAAACTCCGCAAGGGAGCAGGCACACAGCATTAGCAGAGAAGTGACAACAGGGAAAAACAAGGTCAGAAAATCCCTAAAGGGAAGAAGGCACGGAGGGAAAACAGTGAGGTCATGTCATTCCTCTGCCTAAAATGCCTCAGCGGCATCCCCTTGGGCACACACCTGAAGTTCCAGACTCCTTCATAGGCACCACTCAGGCCTGCTTTCTCCCTTCAGCCTTATCTTCCCATCTTCCTCCTTGTATCTACTGCCCATGTCTGCATCTGCATGTTTCTGGGGTTTGCCCACATGCTGTTTCCCTTCCCTGTATGTTTACCCTGTTTCTCAAATTGGAACTTCTCATCCTTTAAGATTAGGCTCAAGTGTCACTGTTTCAGAGAAACTCTCCCTAACAACCTTACCTTAGATTTACATTTCACAGGGCACACACTTTGATGATAGCACTATTACGGTATATCCTAATCCTTTATTTACATGTCTTATTCTCCTCTTAAACCATATGTTCCTATTATAGTACCTGTCTGAGCATCATAGAGACTCAGAGTACTTACGCAGAATGAGGAGGGTGTACTTAAGGGTGACAAGGCAGCTAAGAGGATTACAGGGTGGTGGCCAGGTTGGGGGTTGGGGCAGGGGTGACAGATCACTGAGACGGTCCATATAAATAGACTTTTCAAACTCTAGTTCGTGCTTAGAAGCAAGCAGTGACCCTGTTTGAGAAACAAAAGTTTATGGACGAAACTGTACAACTTACATTTGAGTGACATTTATTACTAAAATCTGTATTATAGTGTTAAAATATGGCTGAAGATAAAGCCAATTGAGATGATTTTAAAGGTTCTACTATGACTGAAAATTACGTGGTCATCTCATTTTCCTTTTTTTATTCATATATTCACTCAGCTATCTATTCCAGCACTTGCAAAGTGCCAGGTGGAACGGTAAGGTCTTCTTCATAGAGTTCACAGTATAAGATTAGGGTGGGGGTGGGAGCAAACACAAAGGCACAGAAATAGGCAGTTATAAAATAAAGTGATAAAGGCATACATGTATGTATACAGGGTATTTTAGCCTGCCAAGAAGAGGCATCTAACTCAGCCTGAATAAAGATGTTAAGTTCTTTGAGGACATATTGATTATTCAAATTGAACAGCAATTCTGTACAGAGATCAAGAGACGCATTCTCCTCCTCTCACTTATTCTAAGCACTGACTGACTTTTCAACCACCTGTATTTTAAACGAAGAACTGAGTAGATCACTTTTATGTCACATTGGTCTGGGGAGACTTCTCATTACAGACTATGTGCCGTGCTGTAGCATAAGATGTGAATAAACTGGCTCAGGTCCAGCAATTCTTCAGCAAGACAATGTGTGGGAGAGCATTTACAGCAAATCTGAAGGCAGAGAAAAAAGGGATGGAACATCACAGCTTCCTTGGAAGGAAACAGCAAAGCACATCCTTGACCAAAGGGGCCAAATAATTAGGATGCTTGTTTGCATTTGTGAGTCAAGATAAAATTGTGGTGGCCAAGAAGCCAGAAAGTCACATATCAACTTTCTAATTTCCCTCAAGACTAAGACAAACCTGTATAGAGTCACAAGGCACAGTGGCCTACTATTTTAGTCTTTTTTCTCTTCCTTCTCTCCCTCTACCCCTCCACCATTTCTCATATTATTGCTCCTTCTACTACTCTTTTAACATGTGGAGGACTTATCAGCATTTTATCAGACATTTCAGTGATAAGCATTACATACATGTAATAACTCAACTATCTAAATTCCTAGAAGTTGTTTAAAAACATTAACTTTTTATAGCCGATCACTAACTCCTGCTTATTTTCAGTAAGCTAATAATATGACCCTACTCAGCTTGTAGTCATAAAATCTTTTCAAAAAGGTTTGATCGAAAATGCAATGCAATACACAAATCTACACCAAAGATGGCACTGGTTAATGCAGTCACTGACGGGAAAGGCACTATATGCCCCCCCCCTTTTTTTTTTTTTTTTAAGGAGACAGGGTCTTCCTCTGCTGCTCAGGCTAGAGTGCAATGGTACAATCATAGCTCATTGCAGCCCCCAAATGCTGGGCTCCTGAGTGGTTAGGACTATAGGTGTGTGCCACCATACCTGGCTAATTTTTAAATTTTTTTGTAAAGACAGGACCTTACTATGTTGCCCAGGCTGTTCTCGAACTCCTGGTCTCAAGTGATTCTCCAGCCTTGGCCTCCCAAAGTGCTGGGATTATAGCCATGAGCTGTCATGCCCGGACACTGTTCTTTTTATAAAGTGATTCAACAGAAGGACATTATTGCTTCTGTGATAATTTCAAAAGTATCATTTCATCTTTGGGTGAATGACTACAACTCCTTTAAGAGATGTCAACAGAATGTAGGACTTACTGATGAAGATGTTTGTGACTACAAGACAGAAAATTCTTCCATTAAAAAATAAGCTACACATTAGAAAGAAACTGTGAACAAAGGCAGCAGAAGTTTTCACTCCTTTAGACAGAGAAAACCATGCACAGGAAAAAGAGAGGCTGGGGACTTCTCTGGAACATTGACAACCTCTGTATTTTTCT